ACCCCCAATCCAGGATGCGGCAACTTGCCATGAATGAAGAGTGGCTGGTCACGTGGCCTGGTCGCCATGGCAACGGGTCCCTGCAGGCGAGGTAGGCATCAAAGTCACATGAGAACCCCAGAAAATTGGCTGAGGTATTTATAGAAGCAGGCTGGTGCTTTTATGGAAATGGGTCTATATTTGACTCAGGTACAGAAAGCTCTGTGCTGGCCCTGGGGGGAAGCAGGTCTTACATCTGATTCTCCCTTCCCAAGCCTGGAGTGGGGGCACCCAGTCCCCGCCCTTCCTCTGTGTACCGCACATTCCCTTCCCCACACCAGTCCCCGCTGCCGCCCCTCCTACTACAGCAGACCCCCTTCTGTTTACAAACAAAGCCTTCTTCCTGGTTGGGCGTTTGGGGGCCCAGGATGCTGGGCCGGTGGGCAATTGAGGACACCCTCCTGCACCACTCCCCCAAGTACCACCAAGAGGCATGTCCCTGCAGCGCTCAGTAAATATTAGAAGTTACTGTGATGACTCAAAGCCCCGGCCACTCCTTCCTTCTGTGTTGGGAGAAGCTGCTAAATGGAGGAGGATACATTGTGGGTAGAGCCTTGGAAGGGTCGGATGTCCCAGAAAAGCAAGGAAATGTTCATGGTAGCTATTGTTTATTGAGCACTCACTGGGTATGTGTTATCTCATTTAACACTCACCCATCCAGTGCTGTAGAAACTGCCGTTACACCCATTTCACAGATGAAATGTAATCTCCGTCATCTTCTAAACGACTGGATCTGGGCTCACTTCTGGACTCAGGGTTCTGCTTCGTATTTCTCAGGACTAGGACCGCACTAACTTAAAATTGTAGCTTCCTAATGTGCCTTACCGACTGGTGGGCGGATTTCCATCACACCCGTTACTTCCCCTGCTAATTTCCTGGCTAATGGTTTGTTTCTTTTTCCTAATGAATCTTAGAAGCAGCTTGTCTGATTACAAAGAAAAAAGTAACCCTTTTGTTATTTTCATCGAGTCTTTTTTAAAGTATAAATTAATTTATATGTTTTCTCTCCCAATCTAAGAATGTCATTTATTTTCTTAGGTCCAAATGCCCTTTATGAACTCTCAGTAGCATGCAGATGCTTTCTTCATGTAAGATATCCTACACATCTTTTAAAGTTTATTCCAAGTGTTCTTTTTTTCTGGTTCTTGCTCTTGTAACTAAAGCATTTCTTATATTTCCTCACTGGTTGGTATATTGGAAGGTTATGATATTTTACATATTAATTTTGCATATATCACATTCCTGAATCCTTTTTTGTGTTTTTTTTAGTTGTGAATTATATTTTAAAAATATATTTTTATTGATTTAAGAAAGAAAGGGAGAGGGGGGGAAAAATAGAAATATCAATGATGAGGATCATTGATTGGCTACCTCCTGCACACCCTCCTACTGGGAATGAGCCCGCAATCTGGGCCTGTACCCTGACCGGGAATTGAACTGTGACCTCCTGGTTCATAGGTTGACACTCAACCACTGAGCCTTGCCATCTGGGCTTGAATTATTTTTTAAATGAAGCTTTCAGCCTTTAAGAGGAGGATGCACACACACACACACACACACACATACACAACCCTGGGTAAGTGGCTATTTCATAATTCAGTGAGTTCCTAAGTGTAGGATATTTAGAGTAGTGCCTGGCCCATCTTATGAGTTACTGGTAATAGCAACAGTCATAATATGGCCTTGAGTTTACACAGGGTCTAATTTCATTTAATCCTTACAACGATCCCATGAGGTTAGAGAACCGATAAAGAATCTGAAGGTCAGGGATATGAAGTAGTTGGTCAAAGGTCACCTGGTAAGGTAGAGCTGGATCAGAACCCGTGTTCATCTGACTGTACATCATGCTGTCTCAGAGAGAGACCAGGCCAGTCCTTTTGCGAAGTGGAGGGTCCCTGGCATCACTTCTTTTGATTTGTGTTCTGGGTGCTCATGCAGGGGTGTGCTTAGTTGGGCCACCCCACCCTGCTCAATAAGGACTCTGGATTCAGTTTCTGGGGCAGCTTTCTAACCACTGAGTCCCAGTAAAGGAAAAGACTGGGGCTGGCCTGCCTTTGTGCGGCTCCCTTATATCCTCCCAACAGAAGTGGCAGCTCCAGGCTGACAGGCCAGGCCTCCACAGTACAGAATTCAACTCATCTTCCATCCTTCTCTTGCTCCAGGTTGATGGGCCAGGCCTCCACAGTAGAGAATTCAACTCACCTTCCGGCCTTCTCTCCCACTTGTCCCCTGAGTCCACAGCTTCCCTCCAGGCCTTCGAGGTCAGGGACCTGGGGAGTTCCATCACCTGCTCCTTCCTGCTTGCTCTTTATTCCTCTACAGTGTCTGTCCTCTCGCTCCAGACAGGAAGCGGGAGGACTTGTTAACGCAACCCTGTACTTCAAACCGTAATTTCACACATGTAGCTCAAACTGCAGCTACTTCTGCAACGTGTTACTTCTGTTTTTTTACAAAATATTTTTATTGATTTCAGAGAGGAAGGGAGAGGAAGAGAGAGATAGAAACATCAATGATGAAAGAGAATCATTGATTGGCTGCCTCCTGCATGCTCCCTCTGGGCTTCGAGCTTGCAACCTGGGCATGTGCCCTGACTGGGAATTGAACCGTGACCTCCTGGTTCATAGGTCTATGCTCAACCACTGAGCCACACCGGCCAGGCGATACCCATATTTCTAACCACACGTTCTGGATTCTTTCAGCAAATCTGTATGGAGAGTTCATTCTGTGTTGGAGACGGGCATGGCCTCTGCCCTGTGGAATGTCCACAGCAGCCAAGGTGACCATCATCAGCAGCCGGTCATACCATAAGCACTTAACTACATTGTGACGAAGGCTACGAAGGAGAAGAAATGTCCAGCTGGGAGGCTGACCGAATTCTCCATGGTCAGGAGGGGCATGAAGAGTTGGGGTCCGAGGTGAACTCTGGTGAGTGGGCAGGGAGTGAGGAGAGAGGAAAAGGGGGGACCTAGCGGCTTCCTAGCAGAGAGGGCACATGCGCTGAAGGCTGAGTCAGGAAGGAGTGGGCGAGTCAAGCTGAGAGAAGGTTGGGGTAGGGAGTGGGCTGCAGGAAAGGCCGTGGGAGGGGGGTGTGAAATGAGCTGGGGGTGCAGAGGGCCTTGAAGGACCTGCTGAAGATGGGGCGAAACTGTGAGCTTGAGAAGGCTCCACTCATCTTCGTGCGTCTAAAAGGGGAGGCATTGGTGGCTCTTTGCTCCAGGCTGTCTTGTTGAGGATGTTTGCATAGCAGACAGCCCTGGAAGTTGGAGATAGTGTCTCTCAGTGGAGGACAGGTTTGTTTGCTGTCCGGGATAATAGCAATACTAAGTAGAATAACATCTGGGGCCAAGGTTGGGCAGGTTTGCCGGCAGCCCACTATAAAAGATTGGGGTTCCCTAAGCTGGGGTTCCCCAGCTGGTGCAGTATTATCTGAGCACAGCCCCACTTCCCTCCTTTGGACTAGGGTGAAGGTAAACTGAGTTGACTGAAGCTCAAGCTTCCTGCTGAGCCTTGAGGAATAAGATCCTTTGTCTCTGGCCCAAGAGTCTCATGTCTCCTGCCAGCAGCCATGAAACTGTCAGGCTCACTTGTTAGATGGCAAGGGTAGAATCTCAGAGCCTCTGGAGTTCATGACCACAGTCCTATTGCCTTTCAGCAGGACCACTGAGACAGCTGCCACCTCCCATCCTTCCCAAACACCTGTCTAATGCCAAGGTCCCCTTAATGTCCTCTAGAGCAGCGGTCGCCAACCTTTCGGACCTCATGGACCACTGGTTGGCAACCGCTGCTCTAGAGCAGAAGTAATTCATTCCAGACTCTGCAAACAGCCCTCCAAGGCTCTGGAGCATGGCTCCTGCCTGCCTACCTTCACCCATTCCTGCTCCAGCTCAGGCATTCCCCCCCCCCCCCCCCCCCCCACCTTCCCCCCCCCCCCCCCCCCCAATACCTCCACTCTCTGGTATCTTTGCTCTTGTCATGCTGTCCCCTCCACAAGGGTCATCCTTCTCCCCTTCCACCCTCTGAGGCCAGGATCCTGCCTCACCTCCTCCATAAGGTCTGCCCAGAGCCCCGGCAGAACCTCCCTCTCCCTTCACTGTCCCCCACTTTCCTTATCTTCTAGGGTCTTGGTCCTTCTGCCTCGTACTGCGGCTGTCTGGGCAAACCTCTCCCAGAGGCCCCCTACCACCATTTCTGTTATCTCAACCCCTGTAGCCTCTGCCTAGGTGGGAGCTCAAGAGATGAGTGATGTAGTAGGAGCTGAGCTGCACAGGGAATGATCCTCCTGGGAGATGGGATGGGACGGCCGTGGGGGCAGAGAAGACATTCCAAGTGAGGAGTAGAGAGGGAGCAAAGGCATGGAGGTGCAAACCCCTAGGGCAGGGAGAAAAACC